AGAAGAGATGTATAGATTTATTAGGTGACTCCCTGCTGAGGGGTAATGAGGCAGCTATTTGTTGACTTGATAATTGCAACAGAGAGAGGTCTTCCCAGGGCATCTGTCCAGGATATGATAAAGAACCTCTCCAGATTTGTTAGTTCTGATGAATACTACCTACTTCTGGTGACTTACCTGGGCACAAAAGGTATTTGCAGGAGAAATCTAGTAAGCATGTCAAGGATTATGATGTTATGGACACGAACCTGAGGCCCTCAAGGACACAGATGTATTCTTATCAGTGATGGTGATTGAAGGCAAGGACTTCAGAAGGGAAAGGCAGATGCATGAAACAAACAGTTGGTAAAGAAGTACAAGATGGCGGAAGCTAAATAGTTAGGCAACAGTTTTTGTGAAAAATAGACGTGGGGGGTTTTGTAGACTGTGAGCTCAATGAGTCTGTGGTGTGAGAGGGCAAACAAAAAAGCTCCTATCATCTTGGACTGCATTAAGAGGAGGAGAGATTCCACAAATAGGGATGTGACAGTCCCACTGTACTCTGCCTTCATTCCATGATCATCTCTGGGTGTCACAGTTCAGGAAGACACTGATAAACTGGAGGATATTTAGAGGAGGGAAACTAGGATGTTGCAGGACCGTAAGGTCGTGATCCATGAAGGAACTGGGCAGAGGAGAAGACTTAAGAGGGATATGAGAGCTGATCTCAAACATTTGAAAAGCTGTCGTGTGATGCCAGGATCAAACTTGTTCTGGCCCCTGAACATATAGCTAAGAGCAATGGCAGAAGTTACTTCCTAATTATTAGTGGTTCCAAGTGGAATGGGCTGCCTTGGGAGGTAATGGGCTCCTATTCACCAAAGGTTTTCAAATAAAGGCTGGATGAGTACTTGGTGGATATATTGTAGATAGTATTCTTTTTCAAGTATAGGTTGGACTACATGACCCCTGAGATCTCTTTCCAACTCTGAGATTCTGGGATTCAAAGAGGAATTTTCAGACTTACAATAAGTTACAATGAGTTATAAGTGAGAATGCTTATCAATTGTTTTCCATTTCTGAAGACGACAAAATAGAGGAACAGTTTAGCATGAAGCATGAAGGTGTTAATCATAAAGAAATTATAAAGATAACCTTCTAGATGGTGAGAAAGATTAAATATCAGAACAGGCTATCAAGGAAGGTTACAGAATCTCTACTCCTGATGAGCTTTAAATAAATTATCCAAAACAGATGGGTAATAAAGTGTGGTCCTGCCTAAAGAATAAAGGTGGACTAGTTGAATTCAAGGCTGCTTTAAGCAATATGTTTCTACAAAATTCATCTTTAAGCAAGTGAAAACCTTTAAACAAAAATATAGCATGAAACAGAAAATTTTAAAATGTGAAAAATTTTTACTGGAAGGTGGTCTCCCAACTAATTTCTATGGAGGTCACATTGATGTTCTTGAAATATTCCCTAATGAAAAACATTAAATTTAGTATATTTTCTAGGAGTTCTTAAAAAGTATACTGAATTATTTGTTCCCTTCCCCCAAAAAGTTTATTTACTTCCTAAGGGAAAAATATTGTGTAAATTTGGTTTTTACTTAACCACCTTACAAGAATAGCATGCCAGGTGAGAATATTTCTGATCATCAAGGCACTGGGACTTTCACCTTTTTGTTGTCATGGGCCCCTTTGACAGTTTAGGCAAGCCTATGGATTCCATGAAGAATGTTTTTAAATATATCAAATAAAATACAAAGGATTACAAAGAAAACCAATTGTATTGCAATAGTCATCTCAATATTAAAAAAAAAAAAGTCCAGAGACACCAAGTTAAGAACTCCTGATTTGGGCAGTCTCTGATTCTACATGTGTGTATACAAACAGACACACATGAGTACAGAGAATTACATGCATACAAATATATTAATAGAGGAAACATATATGAGGTGATATGAAGTATGATACAAAATGTGGTCCAGGAATTGGTAGACTTTCAGTATGGCTCACACAGTTGTACTCAACTCAAGAAGGAACCATTCAGGAGGATCAGAATGAAGGAAATAAAGTGTAATTATGGATTACTGGTAAGGACAAAAATTTAGAAAGGTGACTTGGATTTGGGCAGATTGGACCTGAAGTATGAAGGAAAGACACAAATAAAATAAAAAGAGGATATGTTGAAAGTCAGTCTGCTACTAATGATTCAACAGGCAATATCTAAGAAAAGGTAGTCTACTCTATCTCCTGCTCAAGGCATGTCCATTCCTTACAGAGTTTATACTTGGTCCAGGTTAACATGAAATGTTTCAGGTGAGTGAGAATCCTTCTTTCAGTCCTGAAGGGAGGTTTGACTATCCAAAGTGATTTCTCTGGTTGCAAATTTTCCCTACTGTAGGATGAAATGCCACAATACTGTAGGATTATGCCACAATGTGGCATAATGTGACTTCCTCTTCGAGTCACACCCATGTAGAATCATCATAGAATCATAGATTTAATGCTGGAGGGGACCAGAATGGTCATCAAGTCCTATTTTCTTTGAGGCTCAGAGAGGTTCAAGTCATTTGCCCAATATTACAGAGCAAGGAGAAAAGACTGATTTCAAATCCAGGTCCTTGTGGGTCCACATCTATTGTTCTTTTCTGCCTATAAACTGCTAGGATGTCAAAGGACAGGGGAGAGAACATGGGCTGGACTTGTGAGCACGGCACACCAGATCACTTGAAGCTTTGGTTTAGCAAAAACAATAAAAGAAGTGATTACAGTTCAGTTGGGGTGTTCCACAGTGAATATCAGAATGATGACAGTTACTTAAATCACTCACTGGGTGGAATAATTACCTTGAAATGAACAACTGAGAGCATACTACTTATATTATGAGATGGAATTGAGCACATCAGAAGTGTTAACAGGTTTGGTAGAATAGGTCTTTGTCAGAATCACGCAGGTGATTAAAGACATGAATTGGACGTCTACTGCACTAGGGTGCTCTTACTGACATGAACACAACAGGCAAAATTGGGCAATTACAAAGTTGAGCATTAGCTCAGAGAGCATCTCTTGCCAGTTGAAAACAGTTGATTCTAGGTTTGCATGTGTGAGTCACTCAGCAGTTAGCTATAGAGGTTATCTATTATATTGCTTTGTGGAGCAGTTCTAGTCCAGAACACATCAGATTTGGAATGCTGTATTATTGGAAATGCTAGGTAATTGTCTCCTCAAGGCAGAAGGCCTATTGATGAGATGAGCTCTTACAATTACTGATGTTAAAACACCCAATGAGCCCTAGCATTGAAGCAGGAGAGATGATAGGGAGGTTGACATTAGTGTTTATTTCACAATTAATAAAGGGCCACAGGGCCTTTTCTGAAATTTGTACTTGGATGTCCAGATTTAACTCTTTGCTATATTGCAATATAGTTTCCAATATAACAGAATCATAAAGCAGTCCTTGAGAAGGCACCTAGCAAGCATCCAGCTTTTAAGCAATACTTTTGGACAGCCTGAAATAGATGTGTCTTCTCTTCTTAAGGGTCATGCAGGGAAGATTATATGATTTCCTTCAGAAGTTGTTTTTAGAATCTCATAGCATTGGAAATCTCATCTCTCATATGACTTTCTTCTACTGAAATTTAAGCTGTTTACTTTGGTCTGTCTGGCATCCCCCATTGAAGAAGTGGAAAGCTGCAGGCCCAAAGGCTAGATATAACTGGCTCTCAGAAAGTATCCCCTTCTGAGAAATTTCTCTATCTGTTGCTACCACAGCCCAGGGAATTATTTTCCCCTGGTCAGCTTCTATTGCTGTCTCACTGAAAAGAGGAACCTCTCGAACTGTGGTTAATCAGCTGACCATAATTTCAAAGGAAAGTTGTAAGTGGTTAGGCAACCGTGTTGTAATAAAACACTGCTGTCTTTTGAGTCAGAAGACCGGTGCTTGACTCCTAAATCTACCAACTTCCCGGCTATGATGGTGATACCTTTACTATTCACCTAACAGAGTTGTTATGGAATTTGGAAGACATGATATACACAAAGTACTCTGTGAATTGTTAGTCTATAAAACGTCAGCTCTTGTTATTATCATATTACTAGTATGATAATTTACTATGAAACCTACATTCCAAGTAAATAGCCAGGTATAACCAAAACACTTTACTTCTAACACTCTTTTAACAGTTTGTCCTAACATTCACCTCAGAATCTATTTTCTTTGTCTCCTTTGTTTCCCCTTGCTTTATCTCTCTCTAAGGAACAACCTTGTGGTTATCTTCTTTGGCTACTTCTTCACTTCTTGTCCAAACCAATTACTTTTTATCCTTATTTTCCAACTTCATTTCTCTTTTCTTCTAGATTCCCCCTCCCCCAATTTTTCCAATTAATTACTTTCTATTAAGTATCTACTACATAGTAATCTTACATTAAATGTTTATATGTAGCACTTTTGTTCAAGTTTTTATTTATAAGCTATTGTGGCAAGGATGAATGCTACAGTTTGGCCTCATTCAGAACATATTTCTGAGGTTTAGTAAAAAAGCTGGGTTAAAACAGGTCTTTCCATGTTACATAAAGGAATAGGAAGATAAGTTATTTTCCTAAGATCACAAAGAAGTCTGAGAAGAAAGATAGAATTGTATTTCAATTCAACATTTATTAAGTGCCTACTGTGTAGAAAGTACTATTTCTGTGTGTGTGTGTGTGTGTGTGTGTGTAAGTAAAGATATATAGAGAAATAGATATCTAGATAGATATAGTGATAGATAAATAGAGTGATTCAAAGTAATTTCAAGAGGGAGAGAGCACTAACACCTTGGAGGGAATCAAGAAAAACTTCATGCAGTGATATATGAGTTACACTTGGAAGAAAGTTAGGAATTCTATAAAGTGGAGCTGTTTCTAATGAACAGAGCAGACTACTGGGCATGTTACTTGCAATCAGCACATCTAAATGAAATTACCTTATTTGGCCTTGTAGCCATCCCCTAAATGAGACAATCCATAGTAGGCACTTACTTTGAGATGCTGAAAGATTGGAAAAAGCTGACTTTGTTCGTCCTGCCAACCACTCCAAGCTTTCATGCATGTTGGCCAAAGCCTTTAGGTCACTGACATCACGTAGGATCTCTTGTTGTGGGATTAATTTATCACCCAGGTTCCCAATTAGAACTTCAGACTCCTTGCCAAAGGCTGCCCTGCAACACAGATTGAAAACACACATCACAACATAGTATGAGAATTTTAGAAATGGGGAAAGACTGTTTAGTTCAAATCTAACATGGTGGTCTTACAGCAGGACAGAAGGAGCTGCTACTATTCTCCTTCTACTATGTATTACTGCCTCCAATTTTCAATGTAAGGATACCATTAAATATTCCTGTTTAAAAGCTCTTGTTTTGGGTTCAAATGTTCAGAAGTGCATGGTCCCAATATGAAAATCTCAGTTTGTGCCAAAGGTCTGAGATAGATTGTCAGGCTATTAGCTGTCAGCAAAAATGAATTCAACTGAGATTGGGAACTGATCAGTTGATAAGGTGAGTTAATAAAGACAGTTGCTTTTCCTAACTGGAAGAAGAGAGTCTTAAGAGATTTATACCGCTCTGTGTGTGTGCACATGCATGTGTATATATACATATACAAACATATATATATGTATATAAATATACACACATATACACATACAGTGTTCCCATAATCTTTTCCCTCCTCATTTTAGGCTGGAAAACAAAATAACAAAGAAAAGAGAGTCATTTCCTTCTCACAAATGGGACAGAAATGGGCTATAATGACGGAACAGGTCATCCAGAGTTCAGTAAGAGTGTCTAGACAAATTCATTCATGTATATAAATATATATGTACATATATATATATATTTTCCCCTCTGATATGATAGTTAAAGATTTTTGATGGCACATCATTTTTCACCCAGCTGCCCTCCTCTGGATTTTTTCATCATGCCCCAGGAACCTCTTCATCCTGCAAGGTCCCTTTTACTTTTTCTTTCCTAGGCAATGGTTAGGACCCTTGACAAGTTTTGCTAGGTGGATAATTTTAAGTATCAGGATCTCCTATTAAATACAGTCACAAGCATTTATTAAGTACTTACTGCTGGGGTTACAAAAGCAAAACTAGAAATAGTCTCTGTCCAAAGGTAACTACATTCTACAAGGCATAAGGAGAGGAGGGAGACAATCCATAAACACGCAAGTACATACATAGTATAAAGGAGAAAACATTAACATTTAGGGACATTAGGAAAAGACTTCCCATATGAAAATTTGTATGGGCTGAGTCTGGAAGAAAGAGGGAGTTTCTAACAGGTGAAGACGAAAAGGAAAGTGAGATGGCATGGAAGGGAGTAGCCTTTGGAAAGTTATGGAAGCAGGAGATGAAAAACTGTGTTTGGGGAATAGTGCACAGGACAGTTTGGCTGGAAATGGGCTATGTGAAGAATAATGTGAAATAAGGCTGAAAAATTATGGAGCCGGATTGTGAAAGTCTTTGAAAGCCAACCTCGGCAAGTTGCGGAAGCAATAGGGAGGCACTGATGGTTCTCTAACAAGGAGAGTGACACGATCAGAGTTGTGTTTTAAGAAGAATTTTGTCACTTGTGTGAAAAGACTGAAGGGAAGAGAAATTGGAATCAGGGAACCCATTTAAAATACTGTTTGAATAGCTTAGGCAAGAGATGTTAAAGGTCTAAACTACGTGGCTGCCACATGAATGGCAAGAAGGAGATGGATGTGGGTTAAGTTGTAGTAGACTCAGCAGCTGACTATATATAGTAACAATAGGGGACAGGGAAGGAGTTGATTTTGATTCTGAGCTTGCAAATCTGAGGAACTGTAGAGATGGTTTCCTCCTCAACAAAAACAGAGAAAGAAAAGTGGAAAAGGATTAGGATTCCTGGAGGAAATGAAGGCGATAATGAGATCTGTTCGGACATGGTAAATCTGAAATGCCCAAGGGATAACCAGTTGGTGCTATCCCCACTTTACAATGAAGAAAACAAGAATTGGAGAGATTAAATAATGTCTTATAAAACATAACTAATAAATGGCTGAGTAATGACTCAAAGTTGTCTTCTGCCCCTGAGTCCAATGCTCTCTCAATTATCCCATGCCATTAATTTTCAATAGTCAAAGCACCATAAGTGAGAAGAAGTGTTCACCTTAAAGCAGAATAAGGAAATTCGAGGTTATATTAAGCAGTAGTAAACAATAAATGATGTTAGAAAGATAGCTAGCTGGCAGAGTAAAACAGAGTATTAGGCTTGGAACTGGAAAATCCTGAATTCAAATCCTACCTCAGACACTCACTATCTGTATGTCACCATGAGCAAATCACCTACTCTCTCTGTGCCCATTTTTTTTCCTCATTTTAAAAATGAGGGGGTTGAACTCAAGGCCTCTACAATCTCTTCCAGCTTTATATCTATAATCCTATGATTTTTATCTAGGCATTTGTCTTTAAATCTTACATGCTGCACACTTCTTTAAAAGAGGCAGCATGGTATAGTGAAGAATCAGCAAGATTCCAGTCCTGCCTCTGACACAAACTTACTATGAGATGCTGGGCTAGTCATTTAACCTCTTAGTGGTCAAGGCAATTCTTTAAGAATATAAATTGCCAATGAGATGCACATATGCATCCATAGAGGGAATTTTCACACTAGGAATTCCCCATATGAATGTAATCACACCCTCCTCCCTCCACCCCAACCCTGCTTCCCCCAGGGAACTGCCCCTTTAAATATGTATCTGTAAGGAAAAGAATAACTGCTTTGATTAAATGTCCTTAGGTATCCACATATGGAGATATTCTAAATGGTTGGTCCATGCACAGCAATCTATGCCTCATACATAAATAGCTCTTCATAAACAGTTCGCCTTACCAACCCCAAACTTTTGAAAGCCATGCCAGACATTCCTAAGCACCTCAAAGTCTGAAGACTTCTCATTTCCCGGGGAGGCTAACTGGATAATCAGCACAGACAATTTTACCTAAAAGAAGCTTTTCCTTGGTATTCAGTATGCTTTCTCTGAGTTTGATACTTCTAGATCAGCTTCCTGGGGGATCACGCTAAGCAAATTTCCCATCCCTCACTGTAGTCTTTGAGCCCAGGAAATGGTTCTCCTTATCTCCCATTTTGCTGTCATTCATCCATGTCGTAAAGAATTAGCTTTCTTACTCTATCCTCATGCTAATCAATCCTTCTAGTTCCTTAATCATTTCTGATAGATAGAACACACAAAATACTTTTTGTGTTTGACAGCTAAAAGCTGCAATAAGGAGGCAAATGTCTTTGAAAATTAGGCCCAGGGTCATTTTTATGCATGTACAGAAAATGCCAGGTGGAATGTGACAATCAAGATGAGTGTATTTATATAAAATTTTAATCTGCTTGTGCAGCGATCTTCAAGCTTTTGGCATGTCTGCTGTGCACGTTTCTAGCATGGCATTCCTAGTCTGTGTTCCATTTGGGCTGCTAAAATTTGCTTAACCTCCTAAGCCTTGAGAGCCATAGACTGAGAAAATACAAAATGCTTCATGTTGAATATATAGTAGACATCTCATTTGACAGGAATCCGTAATCACCCCTAACAACCAGGAAAGAGCACAGAAACCATGACATTGAGAATAATTGATCGACAGCTGTAGCCAGTTACTCAGAAAACCTATTCCTTCAAGGATCTGTGTGTGTGCAAGGTGCTGGTGGAGGGGTCTTACACCCACAGAATTTTGAAATGGTTTGCTTCGTGATGCTTCACTGCCAATTTTTTTTTTTAAAGGAATTGCGGAACCTTGTAAATTCACACTTCAGGAGTCTACAAGATAGGAAAATAGGCAATAAATGCTCAGTGAGGGAAAGAGAATAGTTATTAATTCAGTACAATATTGGAAAGGTTCTGTGGCTGGACTGAGGGCAGAGATGGTAGGATATATAGCTAAGGACTGTGGAAGATGTGTTCATCAGTCCACTAGAATGGTAGCATACCTCCCAAATGGCCAATAGTCAGCATTTCAACCAATCTTATCTCCTTTTATGGGATGTCTTCTGCTTATTACAAATGCATTCTATGAAGGTTAACTATTTTTGGAGATAACATGTACTCATAAGTGTATATGGAAAATAAATATGCATGAAATTATAGAAGATAAAATACATAGTTATCTTGGGGGCAGGCACTAGTAAGTGGGATGTTCAGGAAAGGTCTCAAGTGGATATCATGTCAGCAGAGCTTTGAAGGAAAACAGGAATTCTAAGAGGCAGAGGTGAGGAAAATATGCACTCCATACATGGAACAGATGGGATGGAAGGGGAACAGCACAAAGGCCAGTTTGGCTGCACCAAAGAGCTCACGAACAGGCTGGTAAGCTAGGCTGCAGCTAGGTTGTGAAGCCTTTTAAATACTAAACAGAAGAGTCTGAATTTGATCATAGAGATAATAGGGTACCACTGGAGTTTACCGAACAGGAGAATGATATGTGGCCAAACCTTTTAGGAATGTATTTCAGAAATATCATTTTGGCACCTGTGTGAGGGACAAATTGGAGAGGCAGAAAGAAGCAGGAAGACCAATTAGGAAGCTACTGCAACAGTATCAAATGCGGTCATAGAGTTGGACAGGACTGAAATGACTGAACAACAACAACAATAGCACAGGTGAGAGCTCCTAAGGGCCTTGTGGAATTAGGGTGGTGGCTGTGAATGGAGAGAAAGCAACAGATACGAGAGATATTGTGTTAGTAGAATCAGTAAGACGTTGCAACTTACTGGCCATGGAGGGTGAGAGGAATGAGGAGATAAGGATGATTCCAAAGTTGTGAACACGTGGTACTGGAAGAATGATGTTGCCCTTGGCAGAGGTAGGGAAAACTAGCAAAGGGGTGGGTTTTAGAGGAAAGATCATGAGCTCTGTTTTGGGCTCTGCTTTGAGTCTGAAATGCCCGCAGGATATCTGGCTGATAATACCCAATAGGTAGTTGGTGATGTGGAAACAGGGGAGAGAAAGTAGGGCTGGATGGATAGATTTAGCAGTCATTTTTCAGAGAGATGAAGAGTTTAGTAACTGAACGGAGCTGAAAGAGATTAGCGAGAGGGAATATAAAGAAAAAAGGCCAAAGGATAAAGCCCTGTGGGGTATTCACAAATAGAATTTGGAAATACGGAAAACGGCACTAGGTAGCACA